TTTCATATATTTATATATATTATATATATGTATACATGAAAAATATATCAAAAATGCATGTGAGTACTCAAATAAAAGCTCTTGATGAGTGTAATATCAAGATGAGCTTATACCTTTAAAAACGTCAATAGTTAAAAAAGTACAGTGCAATTTTAACAAAAGTAATTATAAATTTTTTAAAACAAGATTTTTTTTTTAGTATAGAAAAAAAAATATCTTTATCATTTACATTCCTAAAATATAACTAGTAAACTTTTCTACTTAAATACTGAAAATCAATATTGAATTTTTCATGATAAAACTTAAATAACATTTTTTAAATACATATTAAATTTTTTTTTACTTCTACTAAAAAGAAAAATTATATCTTGCAAACTAGTAATTTTTAAAAAAAATTATATAATTAAATTTTTCATATAACATGTAACATGTACGGATGATAAATATATTATTTTATACAGTTATATAAATAAAAATAAAAATAAAATAATTACCGTATATGATTTTTACGAATCGGTAGATTAATATGTATAGAAATTCCACTACTCATATAATATTTTCCGCACTTATTACGATGTCGTAGTGTAACAAAATCCCTTGGGCCTATGAAACCAGCACCATAGGTTTTTGTTGCTTGGTAAACAATATCTGTGTTTAAATCTATAGTCTATTAAAAAAATAATAATAATAAAATAAAAACTCATTTATTATTTTAAAATTTTAAAAATAATTATATTAAATTGTCACTTGACAATTTTTTAAAAATAATTTATTTGTTAAAAAAAAAATTAGAAAATTATCAAGTGACAGCTAAATTAATTTTCATTTAAAAATTAATAAAAATTACCTGAATTTTTTGTACTACTGATACATCTTTATTCCAAGATGCTACATCTTCAATATTATTATGTAAACAATCTATGAGTCTGCTAGCTGAGGTATTTATTATTCCCTAAAAAAAAATTAAAATGTAAGTAAAAAAAAAAAAAATTTTTTTTTTTTATAAAAATTACCTCAATTTTTAAAACTTTTCCAGAAGGCCGATTCATTACTGAAATAATATCTCCTTCATCTGTTGTACTTAATCTTTGCCAATCTTTTGATAGCAAAAGTGTATAAGATTGGTCAATTAGCAGTGATGCTTTTTTTTTGTATTCTTCAATCTAAAAAAAATCCAAGTTTTACTTTAAAAATTTTTATTTAAATAATTAAATCATTAATGTTGAAGATAAATTAAAATTCAGATCGGATTTGCGATGCATAGGAGTAAGTTATAGCAGCAAATATGCACTATTGACTTTATCAAGTTTGTGCAGTGGTCCACTGCAGTGATTTGGCTTTACTTGTATTAATAGTAAGATAATATCTAAGGCAGACTATACTACGTCAGTATAAGCTTTACTTATGAGACCATTAGCAACCAGAGATTAAACTATCACTTATTATTGGATTTACGATATCTATACATATAGTTTAAATTTTAGTAGTTAGAAACAAAAGTTAATTCATTTATAGTTTGATTTTAAATTAGATAAAATCGGTTTTTTTAGTCAAATTTAATGTCTTGACTTGAATTTGTGCCTTTTCAATAAATATTTAGGCTTTATTAAAAAATGCTCTATCTCTAGAAAATATAATTAAGAAGTGGCTTTGTATCTTGTGAAATGTTGACATTTTTAAAGATATAAGCTCACCCCGATGTTACACTCACCAAGACCTTTCATTTGAGCACCCACATCAATTTTTCATATATTTATATATATTATATATATGTATATATGAAAAATATATAAAAAATGCATGTGGGTACTCAAATGAAAGCTCTTGATGAGTTTAACATCGGGATGAGCTTATATTTTCAAAATATATATTATATATATATATGTATATATGAAAAATATATGAAAATGCATGCCCGAGAAAAAATATTTATATATAAATTGGTTATATATGATTATATATGAAAAATGGCCAAATATAATCATATATAATTATATATAACAATGTTTAATTATATATTTATCACATCTAATTAATTATTGGGTTAATTTTATGAATAGAGTATTTAATATGGTCCTACGCAATTCTCTAAAAATAATTAAAATGCAAAAAAAAATGTCAGTATATAATTTTACTGTTATAACACCAGCGGTCACCCATCCAACTACTAACCCTACTCAATGCGGCTAAACTTTGGTGATCTCCGTGCGTCTTGCAGTTTCTGTCTGCTATGCTGCTATCTTAGATAATAATGATTCTATGATCTACTTAATGCATCATATGAGTTTATCTTATATATAATATAAAAATTGATTTTATAATATATTTGGATAGTCATAGTTCATAATTAATTTATTTTAATAAATTATTCATAAAATAAATAATGATTTTACTATTAGGTAGTAGTAGAGCAGACCAAAACATTTCATAGGAAATGTAAAAAATTTGTATTTCAGAATTATTTAAACGTAATTATGAACACCATTTTGCACTTTTTGTGATTATCAAAAAAAAATTTGTTTCAAATAAAAAATTTTGATCACATCTAACTATACAAGTCTGATTAGATCTAATTATATAAAGACTCATTCATATATAATCAGATCTGATCATATATAGACCTATATATGGATTATACATGGGGTTATAACAGCCAAGTATGATTATATCCGAGAAAAAATTTTTACATATGTGTTAATTATTAATTATATATAAGCATATATACTTATATATAATTAGATATGGGACTATGTATAATCTTGCATGGCTGTATATTGCTCCATATATAGTCATATATAATTATATATGATTATAAATAACCTCATATACAATTTCATATATAATCATGTATGATTATATATAATTACATATACTTATATATAATTATATATGAAACAATATATAATCTTGCTTGACTGTATATTGCTCCATATATAGTCATATATAATATATATGATTATATATGACCTCATATACAGTTCCATATATAATCATGTATAATTATATAAAAAAAATTTTTCTCGGGTGTGGGTACTCAAATGAAAGTTCTTGATGAGTGTAACATCGGGATGAGCTTATATCTTTAAAAATGTCAATATTTAAGTCAGTACAGTGCATTTTAACAAAAGTTATTATTTAATAAAGCAAAATTTTATTTATTTATAGTTCACAATTCCCGGCAGTCACAAAGTGACTGCAAGGTTACTAGTTAAGAAGAAATTAAAATATAAATAATCAATATAAGTTTAATAAAAAATATCTAACCTTATCTTGTGATAAATTTGGTAAATTTGATATAACATTAAAAAATTCATCGTCTGAAATAGGTGACGAAGCTGGCTTAGAAGTATCTTCTTCTGTGTCTGAATGATTAGGAGAATCTAATGGTGTAAAAAAATTTCCCACGCTCTCAGCCATACGGCTTGGTGCATTGTCCAAGATATGACGAAGTAAGGGCGCTCTTTCATTGTCAATCGAATCTTTTAATTAAAAATAATAAAAGAATTTCAATTGCAAGTTGGTGATATTAAAATTATAAATAAAAATTAATTTACTTATAAACCAATCGTGTGCTTGAATTTCTTGTGGTACAACACGAGAGTCAAAGTACCAAGCTTCACCCCACGCTATTACAAATGACGTTAAAATTAAAAGAGCCTGAAAGCCAGGTTGTGAAACTGCATTCCACTGGGATAAAATAAATTTATTTTAGTAAATAATTCTAATAATTTATTTTTTAATTTTTTTAAAATACTTACATTAAAAAAATAAGCTTTAGCTCCAAGAAAGGCACAAGTTAGGGCAGTTGTTAACTAAGTCAATTAAATATCAAATATCTCATCAATAAAATTAGTTAAAATTTTTTTAATATTTATTTTTTTTTAAAAGTGTAGTTAACTTACCGCAACCATTGACCAATGGTTTATTTGCAGTAGTCCATAAAACAAAAGTAATATTGTGAATCGTAATACTGCTGCCATCTAAAATTAAATTATTTATATTATTAAGAGAATAAGGAAAATTATGTGTCCAGGATAGTCATATAAAATCGGTTTTTTAGTGTCATTTTAATTGAAATTTATTATGATAAGTATTTAGGCTGCATTCGAAAATTCTCTCTAGATACATCATTAAGAAATGACCCTGTATCTCGTGAACTATTGACATTTTTAACGATATAAGCTCATCTCGATGTTACACTCATCAAAATCTTTCATTTGAGTACCCACATCAATTTTTCATATATATATATATATATATATATATATATGTATATATGAAAAATATATCAAAAATGCATGTGGGTACTCTAATAAAAGCTCTTGATGAATGTAACATCAGGATGAGCTTATATCTTTAAGAACGTGAATATTTAAGAAAGTACAGATTAATTTAACAGATATCATGTGAACTATTGACATTTTTTAAGATATAAGCTCATCCCGATGTTACACTCTTTAAGACCTTTCATTTGAATACCCACATCAATTTTTCATATATTTCATTTATTTATATATGTTATATATATATGTATATATGAGAAATATATATGTATATATGAAAAATATATCAAAAATGGGGGGGGGGGTGGGACGAGCCAAAGAAAATCGAGACATTTTACAACAGGATAAACAGGATGTCATTGGGGGTGGCAAGAAACACGCCGGGGTATATAATCAGACAAGAAGTGGGAATTGAACACATGGAGTACATAATAAAGGAACGAGCCTTGAGATTCCTGGCAGATGCAGTCAAGATGGATGATGACAGGTGGACAAAAATATGCATAAAAAACGAGATGAGAGAGATAATGAACAAGAATCCAACAAAGTGGGGAAAAACAATAGAAAAACTTTTACAAAAAATAGGAATTGGAGAACTACCGAAAATGATTTATGAGGGTTGCAGCAGTGACGACGTGGAGGAAAAAATAAAAAGCGGACTAGAAAACTATAAGTGGATGTTGGATGAAAAAGAGGAGATACTAATAAAAAAATCCACCTACAACGAGCTATATAAAAATATAAAAACGGAGGGAAGTAACAACTATTGGAAAAGAGACAGCGTAAGGAGTGAAGATAAAAAAACATGGGCTAGATTACGATGCGGTAACATCTGGAGGGATGGAAAAAAAGAGCAAAATAACTGGGGGTGCAGAATTTGTGAAAAAGAGCAAGAAACTATTATGCACATTATAAAGTGCGAGGAAATTCATGAAAAAATGGAACAGTGGAAGGTAAACAAGCAAAAAGTAAGTGATTAGAAGAGATAAATAACGAGGTGTCCAGTGAATTAATGATAGAGACCTTAAAAGGGGAGATAAAAAAAGACTTATGTATATTTATAAGAGAGGTAGAAAGAGTGTTTAAAGAAAAAGCATTAAATAACAAAAATTGTCAAGGCGCTGCGGACATATAAGGGATACTAAAAAATGCAAAATTAATTATAAGAGTAAGAACAGAAATGTGATACTAGTAATTTTGTATAGTATAAAAATTATTATTTGTTATGAAAGCTGTAAGGAGTGTGATATACTAGATAAAGTCAAAGATAATATTAGTAAGTGGTTGTAATAAAATAAAATGTAGTGTAGAGAGTGATGTATGCTTATAAAAAATAACTAAGAGTGTACCAAAGAAAAATGAGTAAAATGCAATTATTATTATAAATGTAATATGGTAACAGTTTTGTAAAACACTAAATACGGTGATACATATTTCATATATACATATATATGGTATATATAAATATATGAAATATATGAAAAATTAATGTGGGTACTCAAATGAAAGGTCTTGATGAGTGTAACATCGGGATGAGTTTATATCTTTAAAAATGTCAATATTTTACAAGATACAATGTAATTTTTTAATTATTGACATTTTGTAAGATATAAACTCATTTCGATGTTACACTCATCGAGACCTTTCATTTAAGTACCCACATGTTATTTTTGATATATATTTCATATATACATATATATGGTATATATAAATATATAAAATATATGAAAAATTGATGTGGGTACTCAAATGAAAGGTCTTGATTATTGTAACATCAGGATGAGCTTATATCTTTAAAAATGTCAATATTTAAGAAAGTACAGTGCAATTAAATTAATGTTATATTTATTAATATAACTAGTTTATATTATGCTAAAATAACTATATTTAATTACTCACAATTATATCAAAAAGTGACGTAGAAATAGTATAATGAAGAACTTGTTCTACAAACGCAGTGGTAATATTCTCACCTGCTATCTAAAAACAACAACAAAATGTTCAATTATTCTTAACAATTAATAACAATTGAACCATAAAAAAAAAAAAAAAAAAAAAAAAAAATAAACAAACCGTTGTACAAATCAACCACATAAGGCATGTAAATAGTAAATCGAACGTTACTAGTAAACAAAAAAATCTTCTGACCCCTGACATCCTTCCATTATACCGCGCACCAGCAATTAAATCCTCACTAATAACATAATCTCGATTAATACTACTGATACTTCTTTGTGTATAGGAACCACTTTGTTGAGATTGCAGTGAGCCATTTAAAAAATTTTCAGCTGCTGCACGGAGCTGTCGATCCTCTTCTGTCATCATTTTTTCCTCTTTATTTTCACTCCAGGTATTTTATTTTAAATTATTGTTTACTTGGTTACTATGCATGTGATTTAATAAATTTTATAATTACATGGCTCAATACTTTTTTATAAATTGCTGTAAAATATAATTTTATTTTTAATAATTTTTTATAATAATTTTCATGACAAATAATTGGATTTAATTATTCCAATTTTTATTAATTTATCAAAAAGCTGTCATTATTAGTTTACATATAAATAAATAGTAAATAAATGAATCAATAAATAAATTGTTACCTTGAAAAGTATTTTAAATGAATTATGGTGAGTGAATGGTAATGAAATTTTTTAACTTGCTTATTATTTACATTACACTGTGTTATTATCCATTTAATTAACTATTTTTTATTCAATCATATGTTTATATCAAATTTTGTCAAACAAATTAAAAAATTGAGTTAGTTATATAGAAGTCATTAATTTTAAGGATATATTAACTGTTATTAACACTTATAAACAACTTTAATAAATATTTGATCATTCCGACAACACAAACTGACATATACAGTGTACCTATGCAATGTTTTTGTGAATAATGCTGAGTGGCGTTTATTGTTTATTATTTTATTATTTTTTGTATTTTTTTTTTTTATGGTTGTGCCTCTTGTGGAGAAAAATAGAAGTTTATTTAATAATTTAAATTATCGACTGCGCGGTAATTTTCCCGGGAAAATTACGAAATTAAAAATAATGAAATTTTTTCTTTCAATTTTTTTTAAAAATCATTTTTCAATAAAATAAATTATAAAAATTTCAATAAATAAAATTATTTATTACAAAACAAAAATAATTCAAACATGAACGTAATTTTTATATTTAATGTTTTTTTAAAAATATAAAAAAAGGAAAAATGACATTAATGCTTTTTAAAAAATTGTATTTTTAGTTTTTTAAAATTTCTAAATGTCTATTTTTTTTTCAATTTTTTGCTATAATTTATTTGGTACAAAAATGATCAAATATCTACTAAATTAATTTTCATTAGTGTTAGCAGTCGTTTAACCATTTTTCAATTTTATTTTACAAAAAAAAATTATATTTAAAATTTCTAAATGTCAATTTTTTTGCTATAATTTATTTATTAAAAAAATAATCAAATATCTGCTAAATTAATTTTCATAAAAAAAAAAAAAACTATTTTAAAAAGTTTTAAATTTATGGAAAAATATATTTATATAGTTACAAAATAATTATATATGTCAAATAAAATAATATTTTTTTTTTATAATATATTATAATATATAATATGATGCCCTTGTTTAAATAATGAATGTATATAAATAGAGATTCAGTAAAACTTAAGAATTAATATTGACATTTATCAGCTCGTTAATAACGAGACTATTTAATAACTTTAAGTTACTTTATCAATTTTTAAATTAATCTTTCAATTTATAGGACAAATGTAATTAATACCATTAATATATCAAGTACACTTGCTGATAAAGAACATTAAAGTGTTAAAATGTCGATATCAATAATAATTCTCAAGTTTTACAAAGTTGGCTTTTATGCGATATAAAATCAATTGAATTTCTCTAATTGGAATATATTAAAAATATTTAATTAGGCAGTTTAATTGTCCTAAGCGCATCATCTGGATTGGTCTCGAGAAGAGCTATGGTACCTATGTTAAATGGTACTCCTATACCACCATCCAACACCAATCCTCCATCATAGCAATGAGATCTTATTGTCAAACGATTACAAAATCCACGAGGTTTCATTGTTTTTGGTAATGGCCATATTTCGTTTAAGATAATGTCTCTAATTGCATAACTTATCCGCGTATCATCTGAAAAAAAAATAGAGTTTTTTTTTAAACAATCGAAGTATCAAATTTTTTACATATATTAATTTTTTTAAGAGTTTATAGCAATTAAATTATTATGAAAAAAATTTAATAAAAAAATTCCTCGTGTAAAAATTTTAAAAAAATTATTTTTTTGAATTTTTCAAAGTATTTTTAGAAGTACTAACTTGAAAAATTTTTTATTAAAAAATAAAAACCGTTCGTTTATGTTATTTTTAATAAAAAAAAACTTGTTATATTTTTAATTAATGATTCTCAATTTTTTAAAACAATAATATTTCAAAATTTAGTGCCGCAAGGACTATTTAAAAAAATTTCTCCATATAGAGGATAATTATGAGTATAAGTATTCAAAATTTCAAAAAAAAATTTTAAGGAACGTCCTTAAATTAGTTTGTTATAAAAATTGAAAGTTGTCAGCTACAGTAGCATTTTTTTTTTTTAATAAAATAATACCTGATTTAAATTGTAGCCTATTATTATAATCATTAGAAATTTTTTCAATTTCTTTGTCAGTGTACTTATTATTTAATGTCGCAACATTTAAAACTTCCTTGACAATTTGTGGTGTTAAACTATTTATTGCTTTGTACCAAGAACTTGAACCTGTTCCAGTACTAATACAAATTCCAGAGCTCTTAAATTTATGGTAGTTTTCTTCATCATCCATACGTATTTCTAATAAACTTGTTTTAGCTGATAACGCTTCTCCTATAAATACCTAAAAAAAATTTTTTTATTAAATTAAAAACTTAAATAATAAATATTTGAGCGACTTGTTAAAAATATTTAATAATTTTTTAATGCTAGTTTTTGTTAAAAATAAAATAATCCTTTAGTAATCCACCTTGATCTAATTTCTCACATTAAATATGTATATTATTTCTTACTTCATTTAATGCAAGCCAAGGTAACTTTCGCTGATGAAACTTCCTACCACCAGACTCCAATTCTTTACTAAAATCAGTTTGATAATTTTCATACCCAGGAATTTGATTTTTTTCGTGCATATGAAACGGCTGCTGCCAAATTTTACTCTTTTCTCCCTGAAGAGTTACTCCAATTCTAGTTCTCATTACAAATTCATAGTCTCCAGCGGTTAATAGCTCAAAAATCTTTGGAATATCATCTGTGTAGCGTCGATGTAACATTAGATATCCTTCCGATGAATCTGGGTCGGAATTTATTCCTAAAATAGGCTTTTTGTTGTCCATTATAAAATTGGCACCGAGTAAAAATGTCCCGTCACCGCCGATAGCTATTACCAAATCTGCCCAGTCAAAATCTGCCTTTTTAATAGTGAACCTAACAAATAAAAAAAAAAATTGAATTATAATAATTATTGTCAGGATTTTTTGCCTTAATTTTAAAATAACAATTAATGGTTTCAATTTTTTTATATTAAGGCGAAAATATTGTCTGCATAAAAAAACAGAAGACCCTTTTTTATAAAATTAAATTTTAAACAACTTTTGTTTAAAAAAATTTTGAATTTTGGTTTTATTAATTATAATTACCTATCTGTTATTTGATAATTAATATTATTCTTCTTCTTCAAAGTATCAACAAGTTTCATTTCAACAATTTTATTTTTCTCGTGACTTGCTAACATACTGTCATAATTAGCTCCACGATCCAATAAGCGGGATTTAAATTCTCTGTCATCAATATCAGGCTCTTGAGAACGTTCAAATTGATATCTTGAAACTTTTGATACAATAAGTACTCGTTCAGGTACCAAGCTGCTTGATTGATGCCTCATTATTGATAAATTTAATGAATTTTTAGAAAATGTTTGCAAGCTTAATAAAATTCCTGAAATATTAAAAAATTGTCATTAAAATTTTTAAAAATTAATAAAAATAAAATTAGTAGACAGTTGACAATTTTTAGAATTTTTTTTATTAATAAAATAATCAGAAAAAAATTGAAAGAAAAAATTGCACATGTAAAAAATTTGAAAAACTATAAGTGCAATTTTTAAAAAATATTTTTTAGCTCTAATTTCACAAATAAAAAATGACCAAAAAATTAAAAACGTCAGCTAACTTTAGTATTATAAATTAGCAGACAGCTGACAATTTTTAGAATTTTTTTTTTTTTATTAAAATTATTACAAAAAAAATAAAAGAAAAAATTGCACTTTTTTAAAAATATTTTTTTATTGCTAATTCAATTAATAAAAAAAAAATAAAAATTTTTTGCTGTCAGCTAATTTTAGTTTCATAAAAATTAATATTGATTTATGAAAAAATATATATATTTTATTGACACTGAAATTAGGAGACACTTGACAATTTTTTTATTTTTCCTCAAAAAATAACTGAGCATAGAAAATAATTTTTAATTTTTTAATTCCCAAAAATGGAGTTTTTAAAATTTTTCTTTCTAAAATTTGTTAAAAAATTCTAAAAATAATCAAATGTCTTTAAATATATAAATTAAATCTATCACTATTATAATTTAATATTATAAAAAAATAATAAAATAATTACTTCCTGCTTCTCGTCGAAAACAGCTGACAAAAACCGTCATTACAATAAAAATAATAAAATAATAAATATTTAATTTTTAAACTTTTTAACTCTGTGTTTACAAAGTTTACAAAGCATAGTTATTATAGTTATAGACATCTAACCTTAAATGCCACTAGAATAAGCTGATTAATAAAATAAATATCCAAGGCTTAAAAACAATATACTTGACAAAAAAAAAAAAAATAATTTGCTTGTAAGTGTAAGACACTTTAGTTCATTGAGGTCATTTATTTTTACAGTGATAAGTATGTTTTTAAACGACCGTGATTTTTTTAAATCTCTATTTTTTAAATCTTATCATTCTCTATGACATGACGTTTATTACTTTATTTTATTATTGATACGGTATTTAAGTCAATAGTCAATATACGGACAATTTATAATTAACAACAATGGATAAGTGACCGCCATTTTTCTGACAGTTAAAATAGTTCTTAGTCTCCCTCTATCGGCAACTAAAGTTACTAAAATTAGTCAGAGTCAAAAATCATTGACAGCTTGGTAAAAATGTCAAAAATGTTTTTGATTTTATTGATAATTAAATTAAAACATATTTTTAAAAAATTGCACTAATAGTTTTTTAAATCTTTTAAATATTAGACTTTTATTTTTATTTTTTTTTAATAAAAAAAAATTATAAAAATTGTCAGATATCTGCTAAATTAATTTTCTTTATCAAAACTCATTAAAACACTGTCAAAAATATCCAACTTTTTATTTTTTTTTCTTTTAATAATGATTTTGAAAAAAAATTTTAATATAATTAATTAAATTATGATATTATAACAATAATAAAATTATAAAAAGCTATTTTGATATTTAATTTATTGTCAAAGACTAATTTTGGCAAAGGAAAGAAGAAATGATAGCTAACAGCTGTCAATTTTAAAAATTTCTTCAACAAATAAATTACAATAAAAAAAAAGCTTCTAAAAATTTTCACTAATCATTTTTTTTTATTTTCACAGGTGAAATTTTTGTTTATTAAATTTTTTTTTTCTTAATAATATAATTTCTATAAAATTATAAAAAAATTTCTAATGTCTGTCAAACTTCAGTGTCATAAGAAGAAAAGATAATGGGAATGTTATTGTTATTATGGATAAATTTAAATCCTACCCTGGTGGTAAATATATTTCTGCTAGAAGTCTATTTAATTCTTGCAGTGTTCTGAATAATAATTCTATGAGAATTAATTTGTCTGAAAAATTTTGAAACACTGAAAAAGTATTGACTGTATTTTTAAAAGTTTTTGGACTCTGCTGAAAGACTTTTTCAGAATAAATCAGGAATGTATACATTCAACGTAAAAAGATTATATATATAGAAAAGGGTTAAATGTCATTGATATGAAGCACTCAATGAATTTATTATCAGCTTCTCTCTATCGTATTTTATTCATCTTATTCGCTCAATGTTGTTTTATATATTATAATTAAATTAGTTTACTACTCATTTTCTCAGAAATAATTCATCATACAATCGTTAACTCAGGTAATCCCTGGTACAAATAAAATTATTCTAAAAATCTAAGTCACATTATTGAATATAATAAACGCGTTTATAATTAAGATACTCACTAACAATTCTGCCGTACGTACGTTATTCTATACAAGCAACAAAATGACACTGAAGTTAGTGATTGTCTTCACGTACGTCGTTTCTATCTTCAATGGTAAGTTATAAATTTTAAAAATAAAATTATTGCATAAAGGATTTTTTGCGAAATTTTTATTTAATTTTATAAAAATATAATTGTTTAATTGTCTATATTAAATAATAATCAAATAATTCTTTTAAATTTTTAATATTTAAATTTGTTAATTTTTAATTGCATAAAAAATTTACTTATTTTATTTTTAAAAAAATATTAAGTGAGCTATCTAAAAATTAAAAAAATTTTTTTTATTAATAAAAATTATTGCATAAAAACTTCACCTAAAAAAAATTAAAAAAAAACTATAAGTGAAATTTTTAAAAATATTTTTTTTTTTGTTATTTAATTAATTAAAAAAAAAAATCAAAAAATTGCTTAATATCTTCTTATTTTATTATCATTGAAATATATTTAACAATTTGTCTTAAAAAAATTCAAATACTTGATGAATTTCTTTGAGATCAATTTTTTTTTTTTTTGGAAAAAATTTAATTATAAAAAAAATGTGATTTCTTCAAAAAATAAGTGTTAAAAATTTTAAACAAAATTAAAATATTTTTTTTTCTTAATGTATTTATTTATTTTCCAGCATTGTCACTTCCTACGAGTCAATATGACGTAGTGCAAGACCCCATCGAATTCAACGAAAACGCAACTAATGCTGCAATTATAAAAGAAGAAATACCCGGTTGGCACGTAAGCATCAGAATCCGTAACGTTCATTATTGCAACGGAGCTATAATCCACAATAACTGGGTGGTAACTTCAGCTCAGTGTATTTTCAACTGCGACTCAATGAGATCAATGGTCACAGTTCAGTCCATGAGTCCCAAAACCAACAACAGTACCAACATCCACAAAGTCATAAAATACATAATCCACGAAGGCTTTAAATTAAACGAGTGTAACTTGCCGGTCAATGACATTGGATTGCTGCAAATAGAAAATAGCTTCTTTTTCTATGGACCAGTTCCTGCAAAAATGATAAAAATCTCCAGTCCAATGACTGTGGCATCAGATACAAAGGTGGATCTTTCGGGGTGGGAATACGGTATCATCAACAACAAAGCTGCAGAAATGGGTAAAGTTGACCAATGGATGACCATCGACAACCAACAGTGCCTTGCATATTACTACTCTTTGACTGTGATGCTCACTAGTCAATTTTGTGCAGTTTACACTCAACAAAGTGTGGAAAATCCTTGCAGCTTTGTTGATCTTGGAAGCCCGATGGTCTTGGATGGTCGTCTGGTGGGCATCAAGTCCTGGAAAATGAATTGTACACTGTTTCCGCATTCTCCGACGCTTTTTACCAATGTTAGGGTTTACTATGATTGGATTAGAGCTAAAACGGGAAATGTTGTTAGTTTGTAAAGAAAATAAATTTTTAATTTTATATTTTATTTATTTCTTTACATAGAGACTCAACAGCAATAGCCAATAACAGAGTCACTATCCACATATACAGTCGACTCTCGATAATTTGAAACTCATGGGACCAGAGATAAATTTAAAATTATCAAGAGTTCAAAAAAGCAAGTGTTTAAATAACCACGAGGGGGAGGGGGGACTGAAAGAAATAAGAATTTCTTCTTCAAAATCATAAAAATATAAATATTAATATAATTATTCAAGTTTTTATTGTATAAAATTGTTTTATAAAAGACTAATTGATTAGAAATCAAAAAAATGAGATTGTCAATAGTATTCGACAAAATGGCGGGTGTAATTCCCGCGCCACAAAATGCCGACTTGTAATACCAAGCGCGGTAAAATTTAAAAATTACTCGTAGAGAATATATTTCAAAAAGTGATTGGCCCTAAGAAAAAATTATAAGAGACATTTTTTTTATAGTACCAATATTTTCGCTGTAATATTTAAAATTTGAATTTATTTTAAAATTATTATTTTTTCTTCTACTTATAATCTATTAATTTACAAAAAAAAATTTTTTTCATGCACTATTATGTATACTAGAAAAGGATATGAAAAAATTTTTTTAAAATAAAAATATTAAAAGAATTAAAATTTCCACGCTTCACATGAACTTTATTAATTAGTTTTAATACATTAATTAAGTTTGTTAAATAGCGTTGAGTAAAACTAAACTGTAAAGCTCACATTTAAATTATAAATAATAATCGTTTCGTTTTTACGTACTAACATTTTTATTTAATCTCTTGACCACCCATTTTTTTTAAATTTATATTTATTGTTTTACGTTATTAGTAAAATGTTAATAATATTATTTTTAATCTATCGATTAATCTAATTATTTTTTTTCCACTTAATTTATTAAATATTATCAGTATTTAACAACTAAAAATTCGTATAAAAAGCATTAAGTTTCACTTATAAATTTTCTATTTTTAAACTAAAAAAATTTACATAAATTCAATGGAATTTATGTTTTTTTAATATAAGTATATATATACACATATATATATATTTATATTGATGACGGTTGATATACAGTCGTTACATTTTTTCTGAAATATCTTGTACATTTTAAGCAAAAAAAAAAAAAAATTTTTTTAACAAAAAAATTCAACTTAATTTTTTTAAGTTGAAAAAATTTTTTCAACTTAATTAATTAATTCAAAAAAAAAAATTTTTTTTTAATAAAAATTGATTTTTAAAGCACCCTGCAGCAAATCGCTTGCATCTATATCCACATTTGATATTTATTTTTTATAGTTAAATATTATATTCACTACAAATTTTTAAAATGTCGATATTAATAATATTTATATTAATATTCTCACTAATTTTTTTTTCTGTCAATAATTTACATTATTAATATTAAAACAGAAAAAAAAAAAATGCATACACGTTCAATTTTTCAATTATATTTTACAGTTATTTATGTATATACAAGATTTACATAATTATTCACTGTTTTATTTTTTTTTTATATATTTTAAACATAATTATGAAAAATTGAAAATATTAGAGTAAAAAATGAAATTAAAAAAATGTTTATTTATTATGAACACATTTTATGAAAAAAAATTAATTAAAATGAAATTTAAAAAATTTTTGAGATCATAAAAATATTTTTTTAATTAATATTTAAGAAGATCCAGTTGAAGAAGTCAAATTTAAAAATCTAGTGGAATTATTAATTTAAATTTTCCTTGAACAAAAAAATTTTTAATTACTTGTTTCTTGAAATCGACTATAAAAATTAATAGTTAAAGTTTTTATTACATAAAATTATTTTATAGAACGTTAATTCATTAGAAATCATAAAAAAAAGAGATTTTCAATAGTGTTCAACAAAATGGCGGCTGAAATTCCTAAGCCACGAAATGGCGGTTTGAAATACCAAGCGCGGCAA